TTGTTTAGCACGTCAGATGTTTCCATCAGTGTGGTGAATACTGTTGAGCGGCTAAAAAAACCTCAACCATGAGCTTTCATGTCATTAGCTGCACTAACTGGCTAGTTAGAGCTGTCATTCATTTATCATTTATGACATTTTTCTGAATGTGTTTTAATGTGTTTCGAAACATAACATCAATTGTAGTTAATATAAAAGTCTTAAATGTAGCTACATTTTTAAAAAAACCATTGTAGTACTCTTGTTTTTTTATTCTTTCTTACCACTATTACAGCAGAGAAATAAAAAAGAAACACTTAATTGTAGCTTTTCCTGCTGTCTGTGTTTCAATCTCAGGGTGCATGAAAGGACAGATTCAAGTGTCGTTGAAGGCTGGGCTCTTGCAGTATTCTATATTTAGAGGGGTCATGAGTGCACTTGTCCAGAAAGTCACTTAGCTGTGGAGAGGAAATCCTACTGATACTCTGTTAGCTTTCTGACACCCATGCAGAGTTGTTTCAGCACAGTCCACATGTCACAGAAATGTTAGTCTACTATCTTCCTTTGTTTATACCCACAAGGCTAATGTTCCATGGGGAGGAGTGCAGGTTTGGAGTTAGAGTCAGGACAATCACATCACTCTAGTTCCAATCAGCACATTTGCATTACCCAAAGCAACACTGCATCGTCCTCAGCATCCTCGTGTGTCTCTGGGCTGAGGGAACCACACAGAGGCCACGATACACCATCAACCCCCCCGGGTGTCAGCTCTGAGGAGCCCTCAGCCCCCACCAACACTGTAGCAATTTTACCACACTGGTGAGGCAAAAGACAGTTTGTGAGACATATAAATAAACTATTGAGTTGCTCCGAGGATTTGTGGTGCACAATCTACAGTTCAAATAAAAGATGGTGGTTTGAACAACTGCATGTGAAAATGATCAGATCTGTTATACAATGCAAACGATTTGCATAACATGCTAGTTTGTTTGCTCATTTCTCACAACAAGTCAAGAGAAGATCAAACTAAAAGGTTAGCTTCACACAAAGATGGAAGCTGGGGGAAACTTCCAATAATGTTTCTTTTATTATTTTTCACCATCATTTTCTGTTCCAATGTATGTACAAATATTCCAATACCTCAGGCTTCAGACTACCCTAACTAAAGTATTTTTTCTGTGTTTGGCTCTGTATGACATTATGACAGTGGATATTCCTAATATGGTCATCTCACATTGGCCCCACCTACTTGCTAGTACAAAACTTCTGTGTTTTGTTTGCAAAGGGCAGTGAAGAAGAATTTGGGGGAATTTAGCAAAAACATCTTGTTTCACACAGAGAATGACCTGAAGGGCTTCACCAAGGCCCAGCATAAGATAGAGAAGGATTATTTAACTATATAACATACAGAGAGTCCAAAAATTAAGAAATATAGAGCTTGTGTAATAGGTCCACATTAAAGTAAGCAATGTTATCTGTACAAAAAACTAAAACGTGAAAAGAAAAAGTTATGCTCAGTTTTCCCTGTGCTGTTACCTCTGCGGGTGAAGGAGGCTGAGGTGGGGGCTCGTCCGGGTTCTGAGCAGGCAGCTCTCCTTGAAGCCGTTCCCTTAAGCGTGCCGCTTCCTGTCGAAGAGCAGCAACTTCCTGTCCCCGAGCCTGAGCACTGGCCTCCAGCTCAACCTTCTGTTCAATGAGAGCTTTCCCTTGAGCTTCTACCACAGAGATTTTATGGCGCAGGTCATGGTTGATTTTCATAAGTCGAGACTGTTGCTGCTGGAGCTGGAGAAAGAAACAGAGAGACAATGGGCTGCATGGTCTCGCGTTTCTCAGAACTGCCACACAGGAGGTAAAAGCCACCCATCAAAGGTAAGAGCACGCATTTTCAGGCAATCTGTCTGAGGAGATATTGATTGTGCTGTACTGGGTGACACACAAACATTAGTGGGTGTCAGGGGGTTTCTAAAGCCACAGAACAAATGAACAGCTGAATTCATGGACAAGTGAAATAATATAAATGACTGAAATGGAAATTCACTGTTAATATCCTAAAATACCTGGGCCTTAGCATTTCAGAGTGCGAGTGCCTAGGCTGCCTTTCCCAGCATGACAGCAAAGGAAACCAAATGAGTGACGTCTGAGTACTCAACTTCACTGTATATCTAAAGTAAGTTTCACATGTGGAAAATCTTGGACTAAAGAACATTTTGAAGTCTCACAATGCACATTATTTTTCTACCTACCCATGCGTACAAATTCACATAACTCCTGAAATGTTCAGGAACCTTTACATATCAGCCTTTACTTGGCTGATATGTTTCCTGTTTTGAATGTTCAACTGTAGTATCACATACTATCACATAGTTCTGTGTTGTGTCTTATCTGCCTATCCAAGTTTTTTTTCTTCAGATCTCTAGTAGCTATTTTGGTGTCTCATCTGTCCTCTGCTGTCTCCCATCCTGCTCACAGTAAACAGGAAGGTTATGACAACATAAACTGTTCCCTAAACTGTATTTTTTTGTCATAATTAGATCATTAACCCATGTTAATTATCATTTTACTACACACATAAGCACATGTCTTGGTATCAGTCTTATCTATGATGTTGTATGCAGCTGTATTCACAAGCTAAAGTGTGAGCTGCTGATATTTATGTTAGTAATGGTTTAGTTTTCTGACAAAGATTTGGAAAACCAGTAGATCAATAGTAGATTAGCTGACTTGCTAAAGAATCTTCTTCATCGACATCCTGAACTTGAGGCCACAGCATTTTTACGTTCCCTTTATCCACCACCTCATCCAGGACTCATCCATCCTTTTTAAAAATACTTCCATATTCATAGCAGAGCTATGGCCAAAGGCCAAAAGATGAGTTGTGTAACCTCTTCTGTAAACATGTATAACCTCTCTCGCTCTGAGAGAACCAAAAACCTGCATATTTGCATTTTGCACCAGCACATTTTGGGGGTGTTTAATGCATAACTGGAATGACAGATCAACAGATCCGGGGCTCTTTTTTTTTTTTTTTACAAAAAATCTGAAGCTTTGATGCCTATGGTGACACGTCAAAATGTCTGCTGAGAAAAAGGTTTTATTGAACCTGACATTAAAAAACTGGCTCTGCTGTTATTTTCTGGAAAGCCATCTTGTGAAATTTTACATGTTTATTGGAGAAATTTTAGTCCTCTATGTCAGTTTCTGACTCGTTGACCTTTTCCAGATCTATGGCCATGTCTTCAATTTGCTACACTGGTCTGTAGTGATGTCCTTTGCATGACCTTTACTCTGGCTTGTTCACACTACACTGTCGCATTTAGGTGGGGTCTCTTTGTTATCTGAAACCTAATCTATACAAAAGAAATACTCACAGGCAAACAAAACACATCAAACACCCTTCATCTGATAATGTGAGACATTGTAAATTATACATGTAGGCTATTTGTTTTTGAGACTTGTATGATCCACTTCAAAGGTTTGTAAAATCAAGATAAAGAAGTTAAATTATTTGAGACTTTGCAGAAATTATGTACGAAAATAAACAAATACTTTGCACATTTCCAGGGTTTCTTAGCCTATGTTGAGGTGGGAAGCTAGAACTTGAAGGTAGGGAACTTGGGCAATCTGATAAAATAATCTTAAGAAACAAAAGTCTGATCAATGATTGGAAAACTAATTTGTTACAATCTATATATAGCTATTTTTAAATAGATGCTCGGAAGACCCATTCTATCCCTGAACTTTCTTTTAACCTTTTTTTAAACAGTAAAACACTGGCAGCAAATATGTCTGCTTAATACTGAGCCAAAACATTTGCTGCTCATCTCGATCTAACCAGGCCTCTCTTATATTTAAAATATAGAAAATATCTGAATTCTTTATAATTCACACAAGAAGAAAAAAAACAGCCTCTTCTCATTGAGGCACCGAGTTTTTGTGTCCTTACTGCTTCTATGTCCTCGTTTTTTAGAGTCAGTTCACGGTCCTTGGCTCGAATCTCATCTCTCTGCTTGTCCACCACTTCTTTGAGCTTCTTCATCACCTGCCTCTCCCTTTCTGACATACCTGGAAATCGGTGACAGAGGGGGAAAAATTGTCAGCCATAAAAATAAACAGGACAAATAGATTTTTCATCTGGGCTGACAGGCAGACGTGAGCTCTGATTTGTGTGTGAGGCTGGCAGGTGTGCTTGTACACTGAAGCTAGTCTGTGCGTCAGGGTGACTGTGGCCTCTGTGTGAGACCACGGAGAAGCCTCTGACGCAGGGATGAGACTGGCTCACCATTAACACAGAGAAGGCTCCCTTTGTTTGTGTTTGTATCTGAGTGTGGTACACAGCAGAGAGAGAGAGGGGGACACACACATGAGAAACGTATCGAGGGCAAACGGACAAGTTTCGGGGCGCACACGGCAGAAACTTTAACTGAATTTCCAGGAAAATCAGCAAAAGACAAGCTGTTTCATGCTCTGCTGTGATGTAAACATTACTAGGTATTAGCAGGTTTTGAGTGGTAGCATGCAGACTCCCAACACTGAAGCAGGAGTCTGTTATTTGGAATTATTATCAGGAACATGCTCAGAGTGTTAGTAAAAAAAAATTACCAATGCACATGTTTCAGAAATCCGACAGTAACTGCAAAGCTCTTTGTAGGAACAATGCATAACCACACTTTCCCTGAAAAGTGATGAGCCTACTTTTGACTCGATTCAATCTTGGTCTCAAAGACTTGCGTAGAGGGCAGTAACATTTCTACACACATATTAGTGAATAACACATAATAATGTTTTAAAGCAACTGACTTGTAAGTCATTCACATTCTCAGTCACTTGTAAACTGGTGTGTATCATGAAAAACACACATACAAACACATTTTCTTTTTCTTTTAAGCTAGACAGTACTTTGCTTTGATGGAGCCCCACATCCTCACCCTCATGCCTCTGCAGCTCCTCCTCGCTCATGGGGTCTTTCATGGACATATTGGTGAGAAGGGTTTTGTTCTCTTCCTGCAGCTGAGCAATCTGGGAGAGCAAATCCTGAGCTTCTCCCCTCCACACATCCTCCACCAGCTCCAACTCCTGCGCTCAGACACATACACACATACTGTTATACTGTACATGTATCATTACCGATCACGTTTGTTATGGCTCGGTAAAACTTGAGTTAAAAAATCGGATTGAAGGCCTCATTGCATTGAGGTTTTTTTGCTGCCTGACTGCAAGGTGATTGTACATAAAAGCAATATTACCAAGCACTTATGTACAGACCTGCTTCCCTGGTTCAAAGAAACCATTTTAAAGCCAACAAGCAATTTCACTGCAAACATTCGCAATAATTTTGGTTGTGTAATGGGAGGATCAATGCATTGCTCCACTTTGGTCCTGACTATCTCAACAACAACTGGATGGACATAGTTTCTACGAGCATTTATGGTGCCCAGACCGGCATTACGAAACAAAACTGGCACTGCTGTGGTCTTCTGAGTTTTTCCTCTTTGTGGTTTATGCGCATGTGTAAGAAAAAGAAATCTCAACATCTCTAACTTTCAGAATTTACTGCAGTAATTTGCTTTTAAAGAACACAATTGTCATATCAAAGAGTAATGCGTTAATGACAAAAGCCTATAAAACACAATCGAATTGACTTGCTTTAAATTGTGGAAATATTTTGGCAGATACTAAAAACGAAACATCTTCCTCAAGTCAGTCACTCAGACCTTGAATGATTCATATAGCAACTGGAAAACCAGGAACAAACAGGAAACAGGAAGCATGAGTCATTCTGTTCATATTGTCAAAGCAGCCACATTAACAAGAATGCATAATTTGCTGTTTGTACTTCATTTTTCCAGTTTACCTGTGAATGAATAGGCAAACATCACTATTACTTTGAAAGTGTGATGCATGTTTTTCAAATGTGATTCCATATTTAAATGTTTATTTTCAATGATATCAGAGGTGACTGTATCCGAATCGTTGCTGAACAGCTAGTTAGGATTCTGAGCAAAAGTAAGAGTTGCAGTCATCAACAAGAGAGAATTTTAAAGACCTTTTAAGGATTGTAAACATGCAAAATTTGACACGTTGGTCGCTACCATGGTGAAGGTACCACGGGAGGCTACGCAGACTGTGCACGGGAGGCGTGGAAATGACGGATTCTGTGGACATGTGCCATTTCACACTGCTCCGAGGCCTGCTGGAATCAGTTTCATTGATTTTAGTGGGAGCATGTGCACTACACATGTGCAACATATGCTACATGTTCAGTCATTGGGTTCATGACAAAAACAAAACAAAAAACCTACACAAAGTTTTATTATTATATACACTGCTGCACAACTCTTACATTAGCTTTTATATACACAAAAGAAAACTGTGCACGGAGCCAATAAACACTACACCGCATATTTTCACTGTGGATGTGAACTTTTCATTTCCATGTGAAAACTGTGCTGGCTTCAAATGGCCTGTGAGTTGCAGCACAAACAGCCTTCTCCACTTTATCACGGTCACGAGACAGTTAATATGTGAACCACTGGCTCAGTCACTGTCACGAGAAACTGACACTAACTTTTTTTATAGCACTGAGCAGTCTGAGTGTCCGGCTTATTTCAAACCCCAAACACAGGATCTACTTTTAGATTCACAAAGATGGAAACTAAATGAAAACATTTAAAGCTCGATGCTTTAATGCACTGCATTTAGATTTTACTTGACCATTTCATAATACTTTACATTTAGATTCCAAAGGGAAATGTACTTTTTACCCAGTTCCTTTATGTCTGTCAACTATAGCTACTTTCAGATTATATACAAATATATAATTGCCTTATAAAATACAGCATGTGGTTAAGGATGATTTTTTTCCTTTCATGGTGTATGAATACATTTTTACTCCATAAATTGTTTTTAGTGGTTCTTGAACCATTGGAAAAAGAAACCCATTCCTAGACATTTCTAAAGTTTACCCAACTCCTACACCAATGAATATGAATTAATAATTTATACTCACCTCACTACCACACTGGATGAATCTATATCTAGATTTAGAATAAGTACCATCTGTATGTAAAGTCATTTCAACCACTGGAGCTCCACCTCAACCAACTTCAGTCACAGACTGTATTTAAAACGGGACATAATGATGAAGGATTTGATCTGACAGGAGTGCTTGATGATACCACGTACAGCCACACTGTGACACTGTATTCATACTGTAGTGATTTTTTAATCAAAGTAAGCCTCGCCCCAAACCTGATTTGTCGATTTTACTTTAAATATGACTAGAATTTACTAAATTAACATCGTATGTTATTAAATGAGACTTGAAAAGGCAATTCAGATCATAAGTTCACAAAGTAAGTGTTTGCCAAGATTATAAATCATGTCAGAAACAGGATCACTTTATCGTAGACTTCTTTCTAATCTAACTTCCGTTTGAAACCAGAGTCACTTCCCCCGCTATCTATTAAAAAAAGTAAAGGTTTAGAAATTTCACCTCCTGCTTCACTTCTTAGAGCTTATGTCCAGCTTTTATTCTGACTGAAACACAAAAATGCTACTTACTATGGCTGCAGCTATGATGTTTTAATTTTTTGACTATTTTGTGCATTTCTATTTAGTGTTATACATTAATAATGTGCACTAAAAGCATTTTATACATGTTTTACTTTCAGTACTTGCTTTTATTTAAATATAATGGAAAAAAAGACTCTTTTAGCAGGGCATCCTTCCTGTTATAGGATTTTTACTTAAGTAATTGTTACCACTATCCACGTGCCTTGTAATGCTTTTTGTCGATATTTTACTGTTTGTTGTTTTCTTGTTTTTTCTATGGTTGAGTGCAAAATATTACTATACAACATTGACTGTAATGGATCATATTAATACTCTGTGTACGTGTAGGGGTGTTGTTGTTGTTCAACTTGTTTAACATCCAAAACTTTATTGTGCCTGATTCGTTTTAGAGCAGAGTGACACTTTGACTCTGATCACATTATAAATGTAGGACATTTCACTGTGGTATTAGTATTGTCCTAGGAAGACGATCTGAACACGTCCTACACGGATCAAAAACATAGTCTGACAGTCACTGACAAATTAAATCTTGACTTCCACTTTTATTCTGTATAGCAGAGAGTGATTGGCTCTGTGGCTGTGCAGTGTGAGACCTTTCTGTGCTTCTTCTCCTTCTCCAGCCGGTCTATGCGCTCCAGACGCAGCTTGTCCAGCTCCAGCCTCAGCTCTTCGGTCTCCGGGCTGATGCTGCTGCGGCTCACCATCACCTCCAGGATCTCCAGGACCCGCACCACTTTGGGCATGAGCCTAGACAGAGCCTCGCAGCCATACTGGTCTATGATCCGCTCAAACTCCTGCCCCACCACTGCGGCGATGTCATACACGTCCATCACCGTGAGGTCAGCCACATTTTTCTCCAGGGCCGACCCGAAGTCCTCCATGTCGAGATAGTTTGTCCCTCCCCGGTTTCCTATTATGTTCCCTTCGCCGCTACAAACTTCCTCCCCCGTGAAGAACAAGCCTGCTAAGTTACGCTTTATGTCCTCAGCTTGATACGCGGTGTCCAGAGACTCCTGAAAGCAGCATATAACACTGGAACTACTGCATATCCATCACTAGCGGCTCAGTCCAGCCTTCCGTTTGGTTTTTTTGAGATACATATCGCCTAAGTGCCATCGCTGTCCCGCCGGAGCTGCGGTGCCCTGTAAGCTAGCAGCTACCACTGTCAACCACTACAAAAGTAAACTTCACAATTTCGGCAGCACGTTTCAAAATAAAACCCGCAAGGAGAAAGATATTCCAACCTCTTCTCATATATTCATAATTGAGATGTTTTAACTAATGCAAAGCAAAGCAATGTGCTTTTTAACAAATAAAAACAAGATTCCAAAACGTTACTTTTAAGTAAAGATGGAAAAACCATTTAATTCTATTCTTATACAACAAAAAGTAAAGGCTCATTCATTGAAGTAACATTAGAAGCACACTTATCGACTCCTGTATATCAAAATAAGCCCTTCCAAAATTAAATAGCTTCCAACTGAACACGAAGAAACAACTGCTATGATTTTATGGTCAAAACATCTGTGTATGGTGTTGAAGAAAGATCAACAGAATTTTAACACGGGGCCGAGTCAGCCTTTCAGGTAATACCTGAAGGCGACGCCTTAAAGAACATCTTATTTCCTGGCAAAAGGGGGAGTATCTTGAGGGAGTGTGGGTAAGGCTAAAATTAAATATGAAACACTGAAAGCGCCTACCTTAGAAAATTTCAACATACCTCGAAGTAAAACGTGGTGGAACGCTGATATATTTTGCATCACCATGTCACTAGTAACGTCATCCCTTTTTGCATGTGCTGTTCATGAGGGCCATGACCTAGTGTATCCACTGCTGTTCCTATGGAGATCAATAGTCTTATCTCAGTGGACAAAACAATAATTTAACAGTGCAGCAGGTTTGTACAGAGTACCAGTTGTGAATACACTGTTACCTTGTACCGTATATTATTGCTTTTATTTTAAATATGATGAAGTCGAACGCCGGTTGCCTTTCCCTAACTTTACTTCCTGTTTGGTCCCTGCGTGAATCACAGTGGCTACTTCCATAGTGGTGAGGTTGCAGTTTGTATTGCGCATGACTGAAATAAGAGACGGACGAGGTCGCTGTGTGCCTAAAACGCCTAAAACAACGCATTACTCTTCAACTAAACCGAATAAAGTGTGCTTTATGGGGGGGGTAATCCAAGTCTACATAGAGTCTTTGAACATTTAATGAATCCAGAAATAACAGAACTGCATTCATATTTACTTATGTCATATTTTATGAATTGTAACACTGGGTTATAATAACAATTATAGGAACAATGATATATAAAGGAATATTTCTAAATGTTAACAAAGAAGGAAAGAGAAGTTTAGGGCTTTGAGAATTTTACTGTTCATAAACCAGCAATCTAAACATTTAGATTTGTAAATTTTGTGTCAACAAATCTTTTGACAAATCGTCCCAGCTTTACTTTACACCTGACACTCATACTGAAGTCAGTTAGATGTATATATGAAGATCTTGCTGTGAGGCAGCAGTGCTAACCAACGTGCTGCCCACTTCTACAAATAAAACATTTTTACTCAGCTGTGCAATGTAGTTTGTAGTTTTTCAGCGTAAGTGTTTGAAAAGAAGAATAGCTGTCTGTGGGGGAAATTAGCTGAGGCTAAGAAGGATATGTGTTGTGCGGAAAGAGTTAGAGAACTGGATTAACTCTGTTACTTGAGGGCTTGAGTGGCTGAGGACCAGGAAGGGTCATTGTGCAGGTAGGGACATTTCTGGAAAGTCCTTCACCTTATAGGTGATAGATTCTGGTGGTAAGCAGCTGATGGTGAACTCAGATTTCCTCAGAGCAGCATGAGGAGAACAGGAGAGGTTTTGCATGGCTTGGCACAGACTGGCAACAAGGTAACTAAGTTAGTCAATGACAAGCAGAGACATAGCAAAGACAATCTGGCAGAGATCTGCTACACCATCCAGCCCCCAGGTATGAGAAGGACAATCTGAGCAGAACTCCGCCCACAGGCAAACCCACAGAGCCCACTTCCACCTAGAACTCAAAGCGACTTTTACAAAGTGAGAGAGGAACAGAAAATAAACACAAAAACATCAGACCCTGTACAAACCATGACAACTATGTTGAGAAATGAGGGTTGAAATGTGGGGAGATTTCAAACTGTGGATTTTTGAGAAATATAAGAGCAGGTTATCACTAGCTGGCTAACCTAAATGCTAAGATCCTCAGAAGTGAAAAATGCCCATTGTGTGCTTATGTAAAAAATTTTAAGCCCAATAGCAAAAACTGTGACTAACAAAGAAAGGATAAAGGTTGAAGCATATGGAAGACAGAAAAATAAAAAATGAATAACATGCATTAATGCATGGTAAAGATGAGCTCGATGAATCATGGGAAGTCCAAGGTTAATCAAAAATGGAAGTTTTAAGCCACGTGACTGTTAAAAATCACATTCTTTAAGAACAGAGGAATGCCACTTTCAGGAAGTCAAACATCTTTCTTTTGTTTTTCAAGAGGAGCCAGAGGATCATAAGCAATGAGTCTGTAGGACTACTGATGATCAGGCTTTCAGATATCTTAAATGTAATAAATAAAGCACAGTCAAAAGACAAGCAGCACCTTAACGAGAGAAACAAAAACAGATACACAAACTTAGCATCTTCTTGTGTGAGTGTGATAATGAGGGTGAGAAGCTAAAATAATGAATCCCCTTCCTTGCACAGAAGAGGCCTAGGCAACAACGAGGAGGGGCAGTAGGAGGGGCAACCCTTCATCCTCTATGACTATGTTGTACTGAAGTTGAGGCACAGCAACCCCAGACATATAGACATATACTGGCCACACAAACACAACAATGCACAAAAATACACATCCATCCATGTTGATGTGTGTATGAACAGAGGGTGGGTGCTGGGATGTAAAACTTGAGAAGGCGAGAAAGGAGAGTAGGCTCCAACTGGCTCAGTAGGTACCTCAATTCCCCATACTACCCTGCCACACAGTGGGAATAAGTGGGCCTCCTGCAACCACATCCCGGAGCACCCCAACATCCAAGGCCAGAAAAAACGAGATAAGGGTCTCTTTTACAGAGTGAGGGAGGGTGGCTAAAGTCAAGAGTTGTTCATTGGGTGGGAACGTACTGCTTTGGCGACACATTTGATATGCATCTAGACAGAAAGTGTTGAGTCCAGAACGACACCCAGGTGGCAAATTTCTGGGCATAGCCAGATGGTGCAACTGTCTACATCAATGAATAGTCTTCCAGATTAGAGCCATGGGAGCTGCAACCAAGAGCCGTTTTATTACTGTTGACCTTGAGTAAATTAATATGTCTGACTCTTATCGAAACAGATTTTGGCAGTGTTCTCAACAACAGCATTCACATAGCATTTGGGAGTTCATAAGCAGGTGGCAGCACCTGTTGGTGCGCCTTAGTATCAGTGGCGTCAGACACTTGGCCCTCAGCATCTGCTACCACTCTTTTCCTTGGTAGGAGGGGTTTAGGTGACTTTCTGCTTTATAGCATAAATTGGTCCAACAGATGAATATGAGTGAGACTGGTCATGTTTGATAGACACCATAGCTGAGAATGTTTAATTTCTGTGGTAGGAGTACAAGCATAAGATGTGGTTGCAGGTGAGGGATTAAGTGTTAAAGCTTCCTGTGCACATTCCCACTTACATGCAACTTCCAGAGCTTGAAGCAGTAGATAGAAACCAGCAACAAGGAGTTACATTGCTGGCTCACCAGTGTTAGGGAATGCATCTGATACCAGCCTTATAAGTTCTGCAGCATATAGTCCTCCTGGTAGGATATGCCTGGATAACGGAGCCTTCGTGGTGGAAGCTGTTTTGCCACCAAACATTTTTGAAGGTTAATGTCTGACACTCATCCAGTGCTGTTGTCGTTAATGTGATCCAATCACAAAATGATTAAAATATTGTGAATAGAAAACCTAAAGAAAACTGAACAATACAACTTTATTTCAGACAATTATCTCATTTTTAATATAGCCATCAGTGTTATAATTCAAATATTACCATTTAATTTCCAAATTAAGAGCACAAAGAAATGTTGATTTGAAATTCCTCTAACACAAAATTTTCAGGAGCCTTAACAAGTGATGCATGTAGAGGTAAAAGTCAGTGTTTCCAAAATATGAAAGCGTTTTTTTTTTCCTCTAGTGAGTGATTAGCTTAAATCTTTAAGTCAGATTCCTCCTCAGTCAGCTTCAAGATTCTCCTGTTCCATGTTCACTCCGTTTGAACTGCCAATAGAAGAAAAACAGGACGCATGTAAACACCACCTACTCCAAATATCCTTGGGATAAGATGATTATAAAACTTTAGTAAGAGAAGCACTCACCGCATTCTTCAGCAAGTTCCCAGATTTGGTAAAGATATTTGTTTTTTTTAGGCTTAGTTTGGTGTGTTGCTCTGTGCTGTTATGTGAGGCAGCCTGGGTCTGTTTAGGCTGAGCAGGACTGGATGTGGGTTGTGAGGGTTGTGACAATGAGTAAGAGTGAGGATTTAAGTTACTTTGGTTTGGAGTGTAGGGCTGAGATGGTGTGAAAGGCTGTGGTGGGATATACGGCTGGTAAGGCGTGTAGGTCTGAGAAGGCGTGTAGGTCTGAGAAGGCGTGTAGGTCTGAGAAGGCGTGTAGGTCTGAGAAGGCGTGTAGGTCTGAGAAGGC